TCCCATATCCAGGCATTTTAAAAGTAACAAGTTGTCAACATAAGTCATAACGGAACTAGACCAACCAATTTCTGCAAAATTATAAACACGTACTGTCTACAAACTGAGTAACGATTATAAACCTCGCGCGACCGTCGCTACCGAGAGTATTCTCTCTTCACGCTTTGTAGCCAGGTTTAATAAAGTTGTCTCAACATTATATAACATTTATAAAGTAACTAAAAAGATAACCTTTTTAATTGAAGTGTTATCATATTATACACTTCAAAAATAATTATATTAAAAATGCGAGAGTGTTTCGGATTTTGCGAGTTGAAATTTGATCCACTCGCAAAAAATTGCGAGTGATTTCAAAAGTTAAATTCTACCCCTGCAGCTAATCGCTATTTCATCAACTATAACTGTAATCATTGCAGTGAAAATGTAGTTGACATAATCGACGTAGGTATCGATGAGGCTGCATCGCACGTTTCCATGGTTACAGGTGGCTGCAGGAGGTGTTTGATGTGCCGTTAGTGATACAACTGACCGACGATGAGAAATTTCTCTGGAAGGACCTGAAGGTCGAGGAGGCGAACCGGCTGGCCTATGAGAATGCTCGCGACATCGTAGCGTGTGGCTTTGACGTTGATAAGACGTTCATCTTCAGTGATATCGACTACATCTCGTAGGTTTTTTTCTATCTTCTGAAGGTTTTTTGTTTTGCTAAATATTGCAAAGTTACCACGTCCCATGTTTCTCGCTGTCGTTTCTGCTCGTTGTTGTCGACGACACTTTCATGTTCACGTCGTAAGGTGGTTGCACGTGATTGTTCCACGTTCCTCACATTGTTACACGTTCCTCACATTGTTCCATGTGTTGTTCTACGTTCTTCGCATGTTCCATGGTCCTCGCATTGTTCTTCGCATTGTTCCACGTTTTTCGCATGTTCCATGGTCCTCGCATTGTTCTTTGCATTGTTCCACCTTCCTCACATCGTTTCACACGTTGTTCCACGTTCCTCGCATCGTTCCAGCTCATCGCGGGCGTTCTACCTGAACATGCTGCGCATCCAGAAGTGCGTGACCTTCAACCAGGTGAAGGGCATCTTCGGATTCGACGACAGCACGTGCATCGGCAAGGTGGCCTTCCCGCCGATCCAGGCGGCGACGTCGTTCTCAAACTCGTTCCCGCAGATCTTCGCGGGCAAGAAGGACATTCCCTGCCTCATCCCGTGTGCAATAGACCAGGTGCGTGGGCCGAGGGTAGGACAGAGGCGAGCGGACGTGCGGCGGGAAGCGTAAAGCTGGGTTTACACTATCAACTTTCTGCTGAAAAGTTGACGAGTTCATCAGCTTTTCAACTAATCGACCGAAAGTTGGCAGTCTAAACGTAAAAGGCTTGCGCGCAACTTGTTAATATCAACTGGTTGCGAGATTAGAACATGTTCTATTTTCGCAACTTGGTATCAGCAAATCGAACATGTATGCTTTTGCCATTCGGCCACTCCGATAATAGAATTCAGGAGGTGTGTCCCTCCAGCCAGGGGAGAGCGCGTTTTTGATGTCGGTGCCACAATGGCGCAAATTAATACGTGAAAAAATGCATATCCATGTTGCCACGCGCGCACACTGCACGTAAAATGTTGAAACATTTTAAAACTTTTTTTTAAACATTTTTAACTCTAGATACTGATAGAGAGGTTGATAGAACGCAAAAAAACCTATTATCTCGTCGATTTTCCTATAGTCTAAACCCAGTTTAAGACATGCAAGCATGCGTTTCTGTTTACAATGATGTTTGATGTGAAAGGTCATGACCTTCGTTTTTGGCTCCGATAATATGGCGATCTCCAAATAAACGTGTTGCTATAATACCGATGATTTAATTCGATTCTTTAGTTTAATCTGGAGGGACTAGCCATAAGTGAATGACTTTAAAACAACAAGTACAGTCCGACCTCCTTTATCCGGCCACGTCGGGACCGGCACCCATCCGGATATGGGATTTGGCCGGATATGAGAGTTATGCTCAAACACAGCATTTCTATGCAGTTCAGTAGGGTTTATGCATGTGATAATGTATTTACTCGTTGCTATGATTATTTGTAACAAACTGTCGTGTTTTATGGTTTATATGAAATGGAAATAAAATGAAATAAAACAGAAATTTTACCGGAGGCATAGCGGACACGAGCGGACAACACACACAGACACGCGCGCGCGCGCACACACGCAAACACACGTACGGTTGGTACATCGCGCGAGTTTTGAGCGAGCTTTGAGCGAGATTTTTAGGTGGAAATGAATGAAAAACAGAGAACATACACTGCGAGATCGCGGCCGGTTAATAGAGATTTCCGAATAACGGATGGCCAGATAAAGGAGGTCGGACTGTATAACAGTGTGGAGACGATGGTGCAATGTGGGTGCATTGCTGGTGCGCCTATGGAATTTTGACTGTGTCGTAATCAGAAAAATGAGTATTATTCAGAATTAAGCTATTCCCTGCCTCATCCCATGTGCAATATACCAGGTGCGTGGGGCGAGGGTAGGACAGAGGCGAGCGGACGTGCGGCCGGCGGCATTAGCCGTGCGCGCATGGGTGTTAACTGTCCGTCTGAAGATGGATTTCCGTCTTGAGAAAAATTTGGGAAACAAATTATTTGTTAAATTATTTTTATGAAAAAATTGGATGAAAAAATGTGTACAATTTTTTAAAAGTAAATAAGCGAATGTACGCGCGTTCGGCAGTGTTAGCCGTACATCCGAGGGTGCAATGTGGGTACAACGTGGGTGCATCGCTCGTGCGCCAGAGGAAGTTTGATAATCAAAAAAAAATCTAGTATTAATCGGAAGCGATTGCGTAGGCAGCCTGCTTACGGGTAACAAGAGTGGAGCAGGTTGGTGGTGAAGTATGTATGCTCCCCATGCATCTTGATTGAGCGCAGCAGCATGCGACAGCGTAGGGGCACTTGAACAGACCATGTTGAACAAGAGGGTTTGGCGACAGAACTACGGGGTGTGGTTCTACTTGGGTTAGCTGGCTGCCTTGGAGGATATCCTTGACTATTATTTGTTAAATAGTGAAAAAAACATGGTTATATATATATATGGTTCAATATGTATTGTATGGTTGTATTGTTATAGTGTAGGAAAAAATGCTTGTACAGACGGCATCGTCTCATGGGGTTGCTGACCCTTGGTTAGCACGTGTCGGTACTAAAGTCACACTGGTTTGGAGTGTGGGGTGTGGGTCTACTGGGTTGGCTAGCACGTCTTTTGAGAATATCCTTGACTAGTATGATTTGTTATATATGTATGTACTATATATAATATAACAGTGTGTAGAAAAAATGCTTGTACAGACGGCATGATCTCGTGGCGTAGCTGACCCTTCGTTAGCACGACCCTTCGTTAGCTTCGTTAACATCGCCTGCTCTCGTTGCAGGATCCATACTTCCGCATGACGAGGGACGTGGCGCCACGACTCGGCTATCCGAAGCCCGCGCTGATTCACTCCAGCTTCTTTCCGGCCCTCCAGGGGGCGCAGACGAAGATGAGTTCGAGCGAGGCCACGTCGTCGGTGTTTCTCAACGACACGAACGCGCAAATCAAGAATAAGGTATATATATATACGTCACACACTCTTACACAAGAGCTACATGTGTTGGGGTTTGACCCCCCTGTTTCGGTGCTGTATGTAGTTATAGTTATCTGTGTCAGAATGGGTGCTTAATACAGTAGGAGAAAATGGAGTATTACACACGGAGTTGAGTGTCAAACTTTTTTCTCCCAATTTTTCTCTAACCGAGTTTTCTCATTATGTTCTGTCTATTTCGATGTTTCTTTGCTAATTCCTGCCCATTCCCATCTCTTCCGATGCTTATCATCAAGGTTCTATCTGTTCTTATTAATTTAGCTTTTTGGCATTAATGTTTATCTTTTAATGGGTAGAACATTAATACGTGTATTGTTCTTTCAGAAAAAGCCTTTTATACTCGGGTTGTAATCCTGATATAACTATTAGTATATTAGCATGAACTGGTCTCCCTAGTGCATAGCCTATGTACGTTACCATTACTTCGTGCTCTTGCTGGCTTTGTGCTGTTAATCAGACCTTACCTGTACATGCTACGATCTCATTCTTTAGATAAATAAGCACGCATTCTCCGGAGGCCAGGTGACAGTGGAGGAGCACCAGAGGCTGGGAGGAAATTGTGATGTCGACATAGCATACCAGTATCTCACCTTTTTTTTGGAAGATGACGATAAACTGAAGCAAATCAAGGAGGTATGTGCATGTGTGTGTGTGCATGTGTGTGTGTGTGTGTGCGTGCGTGCGTGCGTGCATGGGCGTGCGTGCGTGGGCGTGCGTGCGTGCGTTAGTAAAATTTACAAATACAAAAGATATAAGGATAATTTATGAAAGTAATTCCTCAGTAAAAAAAACACACGTCTTCATTTCTCACGGTTTCTCAGGCTGTAATAAATCGGTTATAATTTAGAAGTTTGCGGAGGTGCCAGCATTTCCATTTGCCTCTGGTTTAATTTCCCATAACTGGAAAGATTGCGAGTGAATGTGAATGGAGAGAATGTGAACGAATGTGAAGCAGCGGCTTCTGTTTTGCAGGACTACACGAAGGGGGCGCTGCTAACGGGGCATTTGAAGAAGGAGCTGATCGGAATCCTGCAGGCAATAGTGACGTCGCATCGCGAGCGAAGAGCGCTGGTGACTGATGAAGTACTCGAACAGTACATGACTCCCCGCAAACTCAAGTACAACTACTGATCCGTGACGCCTGTCAGAACCTAAAGCAAGTTATGAGAAAGTTAGCATGAGAGGGCAAGAGGGAGAATGTGGGGGGGCAGAGGGAGAGAGAAAGAGAGAAGGAGGTGAGGGGGAGAGAGAGACAGAGAGAGAAAGAGAGAGAGAGAGAGAGTGGCAGAGAAGGGGGAGAGGGAGAGAAAGAGAATTGGGGAGATGGGAGAGAGGCAGAGAGATAGAGAGAGTGGCAGAGAAGGGGAGAAGGAGAGAGAGGGGAGAGAGAGAGAGAGAGGAGAGAGATACAGAGGGTGACAACGAGCGTGTATACCCTACAACTAAGCGGTGAACGTTTGCACGAGAGATGGAGCTGCTTATCAGCAGTTATATCAGCTCTGGCTTCAGTGGTGTTCCAGTAGAGAACCTGCATAGGGCATGTGAGTGCTTTGTCACGCCTAGATTTCAACTGGAGCCGTTGTTGGCAGAGGAGTGCTTGGTGTTATTATACGGGTTTTGATGGACAGGGGGTTAGAAAACGAGTTTTTTTAACGAGGAACGTTGTAAGGCTTCTTTGAACCCTAGCTTCAAAATGTTTTTCTGGGATGCTTGCGTGTAGGAGTGGGGATCAGGTGAGATAATCCAGGAATTGGAAGTCCAGCGGAAACCATTGAAGTCCACTGAAGCTATTTCATCAAGCTTGGCTGGTTAAAACTGTTATGCTGAGTAGTGGTGTCGGAAACACGCAGTCATGGCCGATACGCTAAGATGTCTCCCAACTAATTGTTGTTTACGTGGACTAAAGCTATGTAGTTCATACGTAAATCATGTTGCTCATTATTTATTGGTGTATATTTTACATTAATAACACATAGCCAATTGGTTGTTGCTTCCATAGTCTGTAATATTTGACTATTTTGCATAAAAGTCATGATAATTACATATTTATGAATTCTTCTATTTATTTGTTGGCTGTTTTTTTTACAGTCAAAATGCTGATGGTTATGCTAAATACGGTGAAACTGTGGTAGTCATCACAGGGTGAAAATTTTTAAGTACATTCTCTAAAATTAAGTCAGGCCAGGAGTAAGTTAACGTGTGTATCTGTGATATATCTTACATTGCACAACCGTAAATAAAACTAAATCTGCTCTTTTTGGTGTTGAACGAATACGACATAAATTTGGGTTTTCGCTGATGTGACATTTCACGCACGTGTTATTCCGGTTTGCTTACAATGTGATCAACTATATACCCAGGGGCAAAACCTCATTTTTGGGGTCAACCAGACATGGGATGTTGTAAAAGGTTGTTTGGTATCAACATGTTCAGGGGACCTCCCTGAACAACTTCCAGGTGGACTACCTTGAAAATATGCTGCTGAAAAAAAATGGCGGCTATTTTTCAAAATACGTTTGAAACCCGTATATACGTTTAACTTGCATCGACTTTGCGACCTTGCATGACGGGTTTGCACGTCTTGAAGATGTTGTTTGAAAAATACATCACTGCCACTCATAAGTTACAGATGATTCAGAAGTCCCATGAACAGTTATCAGCCCTGCAGGAACAGATGATGTTTTTCCAAGAATCACTGGTTGAGCAACCAACAGCAATTTTCTGGTCCATCTTCCTGGAGATGTCAGACATTCTTCACAGGTTTATCTACTACAAGCGAGAAGCTGGTAGCTGGCTGGCTTTCTGAATCATCACGAATGCTACCTTACCTCACAGCAGCAGGGCACTACAGATATGGGCAGCAGTCTTTGCCTCTCTATCTGGCTGAGAGGAAGTAACTACCTGAAACAGCCCCAGATGTACATGAAGCACTAATAGCAGGTGCATTTGTCGGGAGGAGAGCAGATGGCAAGCACAATAGTGTCTCTCCTGACATGCTTCCGGAACAGACTTACAATGCAGATGCCAAGGAAGCGAGTGGTCTGGATGGCATTACACTAAACCCTTCCGCACGGATGAAATGGGTTTACACAAAACCCATCACTGCTGCTGTCTCTGCAGAGTTGAAATCGATGCTACATCTTCATTCATCCAGCACTCGCCATGAGTCTGGTGTAAGTCGAATCACAAGGGATGCAGAGATGGTGATCAAGGTAATTGGCAGCAGTCGAGACGAATCCATTCGGTGCAACCACAACATCCCTGATAAATATAGCAACTGGGCAATGCGCTGATTGCAACGTTAATGACAACCTTACCAGTGTGAAAAAAACTGGGTCTGGAGGCACTGTCTCAGTCACTGACCAGTGATCAGAAGAAGACAAGTACTGTGAAGCTGAACACCTTCCACACACAAAACAAGAAACTCTGCTGCAAACGAAGAAGTCTGCGGTTAAAACAGCTGCATCGGGGAAGAGTAATGAAATAACTGCCGTATGACACAGATCATTGCCAGTGGTGGAGAACTAGACATTGTTGACTTCATAGGGAACCATGAATGCAGTGACTACCCACCATCTCTCTTCCAGGATGATAGCAGAATGAGAACAGGTACCAAGTCAAGCCTAGTGAAAACCCTGAAAGAGGAGACCAACGTGACCAGCACTCCTGCTCTGTCCCAACATGACAGAAAGACAGCAGCAGTCATTGATACCATGTATGCCATTCGACACACATGGTCGAGGTGTAGACATAGGTGTCTTCTTAACGTGGGTTCGCGACGTGTGCATGTGGGAGTGAAGCCTTGACTTGAAAGTGTCAATGTCAGTTGCTTCCAGTTACGCACTGGCTTTCGGCGCTCTGCCCAGGTGTGTGGCTGTTCACGTGCGAATTTTAGGATTAAGACACCAAAACCGAATATTTGATTTGAAAAATAATTCAAAATTAAGATTCAAATTTTATTGTTACGTCTAGTTAAAATACTTTACATTATCTTCTAGTGGGCATCTTCATTACAACTGCTTCTCTACGACAACTATTTTCTACAACACAGTGCCACAACATGTTACAAGGATGTCATACCATGTACTTGACATTACAGATACTTGCTTATATATAAGACGTGTGTGCATTGGGCAAATTGTACATCTTTTCAGTTGTTGACACCTGATACATATCTAAATATCTGTAAGTACCTATATGTCCATAACTAAATATTGTCTTTATCAAAATGATGTCAATCGCAAAGGAAAAGGTTAGCTTGCAGACGTTGACATTTTAAATCATGTTTATCGACGTGAAGGTCGTTTCAGCTGTACATCTATGTATACATGCTAATCAGCGCCAGTCTGTAGCATAAAATATCTACGCAAAAAAAAGCTTGTACGTATAAATTTTACATATCCATCCGCGAGATGGCAGCACTTATCGACGTGTTCTCCATGCTCTCGACCAGCTCGCTCGACGAACTTGACACTTCGTTGCAATCCTCGTCGGCAGGTGGCGTTGCACTTTTGAGACAGGCGTAGATGCACATGCGCAGTTGTTCGCTGATGGCATTTTCGTTTAGCCGAAGACTCGTGAGCGTGAGCGGGAAAGTCTGTACGAGATCCATAATGACCTGCAGTATGAAATACGTGAGAGAATTCATCAGCGGAAAATTTGGGAGTTTTTTTGGTTGTCACCAGCTGCGCTTTTTCTATCAAAAAAGCGAAAATGTTTTTTTTCTTGTCTGGAACGAAAAATAACAGCGTTCAGTGTTCAGAATACGCGCTGTGGTACGGCTGTAAACATCTCCTCCGATGGGGAGAAAATTGAATGAGAAAATGATGAGATCCGGGGTCCCAAACCATGATTTCGCCTGAGTGCGTAGTGTTAATGGCCATTACTGTATACTAGTTGTAAGTTGATAAGTGTGCAGATACACCCAGTAACGGCGATAATGTGTTTTGGTCGCACAGAAGGCAGGCCCGTAGCCTCTGGGGGGCAAGGGGGCAGCTGCCACCTAGATTTTGGAGTAAAATTACAAAATAAGCTTTGCTAATAATCGTATATAACCCTAGCTAACGTGATTATTTTGGTCACTTATCCGTGAAAGCCTAGCTTGTGTCAGACCCACCTCTACCACACTGGACGTCGATCAAGAGCTGCGCCGGTCGCTCATCATTATACATGCAGTTGAGTCACGAGATTTTGCCCCCCCCCACCTAGAAATTTGCTCAGCCTATGGCCCGGACGCGAAATGTTTTTTCCCACTTGAGTTCCGGACCACAGCCAATCAGCGCACTCCATTCACTCGACTTCCTCGAAGCAACAATGTAAAATGAATACCCACTATCCCTAACCCTAACTCTAACCCTGACTATGATCCAACCATATATATACGAACCATATATTACAAAACACTATCTATGGTGGGTCGGGAACTCGAGTGGGAAAAAACGTTTCGCGGCCCGGACGGCAGGGGAACATACTACCAAGAGCTCATAATAGAGATATTATGAGCTGTTGATACTACCAGGAGTTAATAATGAGAAATATTTGTCAATGAACAATATGACAACAATTTGTCATTATTAACTCCTGACACTACGTATATAATTCTATATCATAATCTCGTGGTGGGGAATAGGATATACTATGACATATATACTACATTTATCATGTAAAATTTGAAATGCCTGTGAGTGAAAATGCTCTAACTACAACTAGGAGCGTCCACTCTGACAAAACTGTTAAATTCATAGATTTTCTGAGCGAGCCGTCCAGTATTCTAACATAGCTAGCGGGTCTATTGGGATATAAAAGCAAAACCCATTAGCGCGACAGCTACGGTTGGCTTGCTTCATTATTTTAAACTACCACAATTAGCGGTGATTATCTGTGGGAAATATGCACCTGTGCATAATTACTTATATTAGCAAGTTACACCTGCTAACGGCTAATGAAAACCCGTTCCCCGTTTTCCCAGTGACACTACGGCTAAAAAAACCTACAAACCTCTACCATACACCCACAAACCTCCACCCTACACCCTACACTCACAACTCTACACCCTACACCCATAAACCTCCACCCTGCACCCTACACCCACAAACCTCCACCATACACCCACAAACCTCCAACCTACATCCACAAACCTTCACCCTCACCCACAAACCCACCCTACACCCACAGACCTCCACCCTACACCCACAAACCTATACCCACAAACCTACATCCACAAACTCCCTTCACCGACCATCGTCCTCCTGGCACAGCCTCGTACTAACACCGACCACTACACACAATTGAAGATCACGCGGCAGCGCGTAATATCGACGGGTCCACTTAATAACATCAACGACTCCAGTGACAAGCTTCATCCGTCCGCTACATCTGCTGCTACTATCGCAGGACTTACGCCTACGAAATTATCTCATTACTAACGTATATAATATTATACTTAACAACGCTACGCTATACTACTCCTCGTCGCTTCCCCTGACACAAATTACGCCCCCCCCCCCATGCCCTCTCCCTCGCATGCACACACGCTATTATTTGCCTTTCTTACACACCTCCCCCTTCACACACTCCGGGACACCTTCTCCCTCACGCAACCGGTCAGTGTTACCCACTCTTCTCTTACACACCTCCTGTCGTCACCTTCCCCTCAGACACCCAGCCACACATACCCTCCCTCTCACACACCCGGTGACACCTCCCCTCGCCTCCACACACCCGGCAACACCTCCCCTTCCCCTCGCACACCCGACGACACCTCCCCTCCCCCTCACACAACCGGCGAGACCCTCCCCTTCCCCTCAACACACCCGGCGACACCCTCCCCTCCCCCTCACACACCCGGCGACACCTCCCCTCCTTCTCACACACCCGGTAACACCTCCCCTCCCCCTCACACACCCGGCGACAATTTTCCCTCCACACACCCGGCGACACCCTCCCCTCCCCCTCACACACCCGGCGACACCTTTTCCTCCACACACCCGGCGACACCCTCTCCTCCCCCTCACACTCCCGGCGAGACGCTTCCCTCCCCCTGACAGACACACGCCGCTATATCATCCCCAGGCAGCTGTACGCCCTATCTTACACACCGTCACCTTTTCCCGCTTCCCCCCATGCAGTGACATCTCTTTTCTCTAACACACGAGTCGTCGTTCCCATCCTCCCTCACACATACTCGACGCCACCTCCTTCTTTTATACACCTGGCATTACCTCCCACTGCCACAGACGTATGTCATCACATCCCCTTCTCACAGTACCATCTCAATCTCGTATCATCTCGCTTTTTCACTCACACGCACGCACACACACACACACACACACACACACACACACAC